TAATAGACATTTTGGCTGGGTATAGTAGTCTGGGTTGGCATCTGTGGTCATTTAAAACTGGGAATACTTTGGTCCAGGCTCTTCTGGCTTTCATAGAAGTTTTTATGAAGTCAGTTGTAATCCTAATGGGTTTTCCTTCATATGTGACTTGTTGTTTCTCTTTTGCAGCTTTCAGTGTTGTCTCTTTGTTTTGTACGTTTAGTGTTTTTACTATGATGTGCCATGGAGAGTTTCTTTTCTGGTCCTGTCTGTTTGGTGTTCTATATGCTTCTTATATTTGTATGGGCATGTCTTTAATTTTGGGAAATTTTCTTCCATGATTCTGTTGAAGATCTGGTCCATGCCATTATCTCGGGATTCTTCTCCTTCCTGTATGCCTATGATTCATAAGTTTGGTCTTTTTATGGTGTCACACAGTTCCTGCATATTCCATTCTTGTGATTTCTTAAATTTTTCATAATCTTTGCTTGAGTGGTCTAATTCTTCCACTTTATCTTCCAGTCTTGATACTGTATTCCATTTCATTCATCCTGTTGTTGAGGCTTTCTCCTATCATTTCTAATTGGCTTACTGAGTGTTTCACTTCCTTCTTTATTTCAGCCTGAGTAGTCTTCAATATTTCTAGCTTTTTTTCTGAATTCATTCAGAAGTTTATCCCTAACTTCCTTCAGTTCTTTGATTTGTTTGTGTGTTCTTTAAATTCACTGAATTCTTTTATCATGTTTATAGTTCTTCTTTTGAGCTCCATGTCCTGCATTATCTCTAGAGCATTCTCATTGTACTCCTCTAGAAGACTATTGGTATTTGGTGGCGATATGGTATTTTGGTTTTTCATGTTGTTTTTTTCTCTGTGATTTTTGACATGTGAATTTCTTTTGTAGTTTCTGACTCTTGTGTGAGACTCAAGCCTTCAAGTTTAGGTCTGCTTCTTTTTGTGAACTTTATGTGTGTTTGTTTTTTACTTTTTGGACATGAAAAGCTGGTTCCTCTAAGCTTCCAGTTCTTTCTTGTGATTTTATATTGGAGTGGCCAGAATGCTTTTGTCTTCAGGAGTTCCCACAGAGGCCCAAGTCATATGAGGATCAGATGCTCTCAGGCTTTCTCCTAAGGTCTGGATCCCTCCAGGATAGACTTCGCCTCAGGAATTAGGGGGTTGGACTGGCTTGGGAGCCGGACCCAGGAAAGATGCTGGTCTAGGGCACCTGGTGGCTGTGCCACCCAGAGATGCAAAGGAAGATGGGGGCAGGAGACGGCACCAAGGGCCCCTGGGGACTGCACTGAGGAGCTGGGTTGGTCTGGATGCAAAGGACCACGAAGAGGAAAGGTCAGCCCTGGCCTCCAGGAAAGAGGCTGAAGGGTTGTGCAGACCCAGGGAGGCACATGGAGGTGAGGATGGGGCCAGGCCCAGAGTACCACTGGGTACCCGAGAAGGAACCGAGTTGGTCTGGATGCACAGGATCTGGAAGAAGCAGTGGTGGTTCCCCAGGTGTCTTGGGCGCCAAGACAAGGAATGGGACAGGGCCCAGGCTAGGAGGAGAGACCAGCGGGGCAGATGGGAGGGTGAGTGAGGCTGGGGGAATCAAGGCGTGGAGGGCAAGATTGACTTACCCCAGAGAGAGAAGCCTTCAGGTTGGAGAGAGGCCTGTGTGTCCTGCGGGCCCAGGGAGCAGCCATTCAGGTATTTTAACCAATGCTGAGGAAATAAGAAATATTATTAATATTTATCAACACTTAGTAATTAAGTGGTCTTCAGCAACCCCAATATTCCTCAGTTTCAATTTACTACTGTTTTTAATAGTTCAATGTCTTTCAAACTCATGTGTCCCAGAATCACCTGGAAGGCTGAGAAACTAAGACTGCATGGAATCATCTTAGGGTTCCACTTCAGAATGCCTTAGATAGAACCTGTAGTTGCTTTTCTAACCCGTTCCAGCTGATGTGCCAATGTGGTCAGGAAGAGTCTTCCCTTGGGTACTAACTGCCCCCCCGAGGTGCTCATACAAAGCAGAGATTCTTTACCTTTGCTATGGATAATCTGGGCAGTTGGGTGAAACTCTTTTTTTTTTTTTTTTGTGCCCTCCCTCCCTTGTTCCCTTTGTTCCACCCTCCTTTCTCTTCCTGTCTTATTTGTGGGTCCTATACCATATGTACATAAAACTATATATGAATATAGGACATGAAATCAGAAGCAAAACTATCCAGGGGACAAAGGAGATGAATGGGAAGATGGAAGGAAAAGAGGAGGGAGGAAGGTACAGGAAATATGCCAATGTCTACTATACACTGGTACTAAAATGTCCTTATGTGAGCCAGGCATGGTGGCATATGCCTGTAGTCCCAGCACTTGGGAGGCAGAGGCAGGCGGATCTCTGTGAGTTCAAGGCCAGCCTGGTTTACATAGTGAGTTCCAGGACAGCTGGGGCTACAGGGAGCTCCTGCTTCAAAAAGACAACAACAACAAAAAAGTCCTTATGTAACAGTACAATGTACAATAAATATACACAATCACAAAACTAAACTAAATGAGAAATGTTTCTCCTCTTTCACTTGGAGTTTGATGCAGAGGGCAAAACACTGTAACTGATTTTTTTCTGCACAAGTAAGAACAATTTTCAGGAAGCTTTGAGTGTTTCATACATTTAAATCCTTTAAAGCCCATGAAAGAATTGATATGATGACTTCAATGAATTTAAATACCAAATTTCAGAGAATGATTACCTTAAAAATCATAAATTATTTTAAAAAAACATTATTTTAAATTATGTGTGTGTGTCTGTGTGTGAGTATGTGCATGTGAGTGCAATACCCCTAGATGCCAGAGGCATTGGATGCCCTGGAACTGGAGTTATAGGCTGTTGTGAGCTGTTTAATGTGGGTGCTGGGAACTGAACTTGGGTCCTCTCAAGAACACTAAGTACTCTTGACACTGAGCCATCTCTCCAGTCCTCCCAAATCACAAATTCTTAAAACCTGGGATTTTGAGCTAGGGTATATGAGGCTCATGTTAGTTTACTTCCCCAGTGCTGTGATAAAACTGACTAAAACTAACTTTTAGAAAAGGGTTTATTAATCTTACTCTTCCAGGTGACAGGCACTGAAGGTAGCCAAAGCAGGAATTTAAGCAGGGCAGGCATCTGGAGGCAGGGACTGAACATAGAGACCTTGCGGGAATGTGCTTAGCCTGCCCAAGGGTGGCACTGCCTAAAGTGGGACATGGCTTTTTTCTTCTCCCCTCTTCTCCTCTAGGCTGCTGCTGCTGTGATTTACAGTTATTCTTTAAACTCTAATAAAATTTCCCTAAAGCTTCCATTTGACTCCATTCTTAAATTCTTTTATTAATGAGACTGAGAACCCTAAAGGGGACCCTGTTTCCCCCTGCATTATCTGGTGACCAGAAAGGGCTACCAAAATTCTGGTAGCAAGAGGGTCATGGAATACGTGTGTTGTTAAAGCAGAAGAGGGAACTATTTGAGGGGTGGAAGTAGACCAGCATGAGGTGGATGAGGGATGGGCAGGCAGTGGTATGGGCAAGAGAACAGAGTATAGTGAGATCTCTGTGTGTATATTTATACATAAATATGCAAATTTCACAATGAAACCCTCTTTTTGTATGCTAACCAAAAGGTTAAAAAGAAAAACATTGCTTCATATGTGAAAAAGGACAGAGAATAACATTCCCAGTCAGTAGCTGCAATGCATTTTCTAACTACGGTGTTCTGAATTCTAAAACAGAGTAACAGAGGCTAGCTCTTTCGGTATGTCTGTCCCGTCCTTTACATGGCATCTCACAAAGCCTGCTCTGGACATGACATGATGCTGCCAAAGGAGGTAAATGGAGAATGTGCCACTGAGACAATGGGAAGCAGGAGTTAATGCCCCTTCTCTCAAGTTGGAGAACTGAGGCAGAGAGCTTGGGTACTCTGTCCAATAGAGACATAAGGGAAGCAGCTGGATTATCTTTCTGTTGCTGTGATAAAATGCCACAGCTAAAGCAATTTATAGAGGAATTTATTTTGACTTACAGTTCTAGAGGGGGAGTCCATAATGACAGGAGAGGACAGTGGGGCTTTGGAGCAGGAAGTTGAGAGATCAAATCTTCAACTACAAACAGAAGCAGAGAGAGCAAACTGGAAATTGGGTGAGGTTATAAATTCCATCGCCTACCCCAGTGATATACTTCCTTCAGCAAGGCTGTACTTCCTAAAGATGCCATGACCTCCAAAGCACAGCCAACAGTTGCTGTCCGAGTGTTCAATTACTTGAGCCTCTGGGGGACATTTCTCATTCAAACCACCACAGCCACGTATTTGATTTAAAAATTTTTAATTAATATACTAGGAAGATACTAGGAAGTAAACAGACAGATAAAATTCATTTTGAGAATGTTTTATTTAATTCAGTATGTTCCAAATATCTTTTCTTCATGGATTAAATGCAAGTGTTATTGATGAGGTATTATATATTTTGCACTTATAGTACATCACAATCCAGGCTGATCACATTTCTATGTACAATGGAATGGCTACCACTTTGACAGTGCAGACTGTGTAGCCTTGGCAAGTAACCCACCCATCATATAGCTAGGTTTCTTATTTGTAATCTCTTTGAACTAATTATATGGAATAATAGACATAAGAACAGTTAGTCAAGTACTTGGCAGGAAGCCATTAGTGAGCTATAGCTATGATAATCTGCTGGAATCTTGCTGACCTCAATCCCGTTTTTGTTACTAACAAAGAATAGTAGAGTTCTACGCAGTTCACTGTCTTCTACTGTAAGCACAGAGGGGCTCTAAAATAAGATGAATTTCAACAATAAATAAGAAGTCCTGAGTTATGATATACATCTACTAAAGAGACTCATATTGGAAGAAGATGTCTTTTTTATTGTTACGGTAAAATATACAGAACATAAAATTTCCCATTTTAGCTATTTTTAAATGTCCCACTCTGTGGTGTTTACATTTATATTTCTAAAACCATCACCACCAGCCAGTTTCAAAAACTTTTCAGCATCTCATTCCATTCTGTTCTGTACCTATTAACTACCAAGTTCTTATTATGCCCTCTAACCTTACCATAACCACTATTCTGTTTTCTGTCTGTATTTGATCATTCTAGCTACCTCTTAAGAAGAGGTCTATTTTTTTCTAAGTAACATTTTTTTTTCAGCCTAACAAAATAAGAAAAATCATGTTATACAACACTGATAGAAGGGCTGGAGCGATGGCTTGACAGTTAAGAACACTTGCAGCTCTTGCAGAGAACCAGAGATTGGTTCCTAGCACCCAAGCCTGGAGGCTTACAACTGCCTGTAACTCCTGGTCCAGGGGATCTGATGCCCTTTTCTGGTCTCCGGGGTCACGTGCACACATGTATGCATGCACACACATAAATAAAAACATAGAAACAAAAATACAGAGTAAATCTAAAGATTTAGAAATATGTAATTAATGCTAGAATTTATGTTGATATGCACAGATGGAAGTCACTGTAGCAGTAAATAATGGTTGTTGTGCATCATGCTTGAGAGGGATAATAACTATGAAGGTATGAGAATGTGTATACATGAGAATAAATTGATGCACATCTGTTCATGCTTATTGCTCACAAAGATGATAATGATACCATAATCTTTGTGGGTATCAGAGTTAGTTCCTTCATTTCATTTGGCCAAGGCTAAAGGGCCAGATCCTTTCAAACTTCCATCTTCATCTGTGAAATGCAGATAGTAATAGCTTCCCTAAGCACATCTTAGGGTTGATGTAAAGATCAAAGAAGATAATCAAAGTGAAGGGCTTTTGAAAAATACAAAAGCCTGTAGAAATGCTAGGCATTATTAAAGGCTGCAGAAAGATTGCTAACATGATGTGATTCAAGGACAAAGTTTTTTATTTCTAAAAGCCTAAAAAGATGTGTAGCATTTACAAATCATTTAGAAAACCCAGATGCCTTGGTAACCCAGAACCATGACTAAATTCTGTTCTAAATGCTGTACATTTGATACCCACTGCTATAAGTAATCATACTGCATTCCCATACCAGATGTAATTATGCATCATTTCAACAATATCTACAATTTTTAGTGGGTAAGAAGTTGTAACTGCACATAGCATAAAGACAAAGTCATGCATTTTAAAGGAAAGCTCTTTTGCTTTTCTGTAGTGGTGAAAGTGCTGTCCTGTTTAACACAACTTCTATGGGACCCCTGCCTGCCAAAGCAACTCAGCAATCAGTTACTGAGTGCCCACGGTGTACAAGTTGTGTTTTTTAGAGATGGTGTAGGGGAAGGCTGCAAGTGGTGAGAAGAAATACAAGTGAGAGAAAGGGTTCTTGAAGTGGAAGAGTGTTAAAAAAATTATCTCTGTGTGTATGTGTACAATGTGTAAGTATATGTGTGTGCACACACCTTTGTGCATGTGTATGCAGGTATGCGGGTGCCACAGCATGTGTGTAGAAGTCAGAGGACAGCCTTATGTCTTGGTTCCCACCTTTTCCCTTGTTTGAGAAAGGGTCTCTTGTTGCTTTTCTGTTGTACATGCCAGGCCATCCGGCCAAGAGTCTGTGGGATTCTCCTTGTCTCTGCCACTCATCTCCCTGTAGGATCACTAGGATTACAGACAAGCCCTTTACTGTGTCTGCATTTATGTAGTTTCTTGGGATTTGAACTCAGGTTCCATTTCCCCCGTACAGAAGTAAGCAAGCTCTAAAACTAATGGGAAGTGGCAGATCCCATGGCGACTGTATTAGTTAATTTTCTGTTGCTGTCATAAAACAACAAGGCAACTCGTAGAAAGAAACCTATTTGGTACATGGTTCCAGAGGGGTAAGAGTCCATCATGGTGGGGAGGCATGGCAACAGAGGCAGCTGAAGCACAAAGCTGAACGCTCGTGTCCCCAAGAACACACAGGAAGCAGAGAGAGAGGGCAAGCTGTAAGTGGAGCAGGGCTATGCTCTCTCGAAGCTCACCCCTAGTAATGTTTCTCTCAGTAAGGCTCTACTTAAACTTCCACAAACAGTGCCATGAACAGAGATCAAGTGTTCAAATACTTGGAGCCTATGGGAGATATTTCTCATAGCACAGCAACTAACTATAAAGACAAAAGGAAACCAGTGCCAAAAAACTGATTGAGGACTATGCCTTGAGAGTTGGAGAGGTTACAAGAACTAACTTCATTCATTGTAGAAGGACAAAATCTGATGACATTTCTCCCAGGCCGTGATGCATGGGGAAGGTTTCTTGTATCAGAAAAAGAAAGGGGACTACTTTAAGTCTGAAGGACTCATACCTACCTCATCCCCCTAATAAGCATTTACCTACTAACTAGCTGATAAAACTCAACAATTTAGCAGTGTGACTCCACAAAGTCACAGCTGAGGGAGGTTGGGGGTAAATTCCAGATTCTTATTGGAAGCAGCAGCCATTCACCCCTCCAGGAGGGTCAGCTCAGAGTGCCATAAGAGGTCTTGCAAACAATGCTTCATTTTACTTCAGTTCCATAGTGATTCCACCATTTTATCCTTAATTAGATAACCCACAACCAAATCGAGAAGCCCTCTGGGCCCATGTTCCAACTGTAGTTCCTAAGCTCACTTCTGTTCTGTCCTACTCAGTTTTCATGGAACCAGAACCAACCTTTACCCTTAATTTTAGGTTTCTTCTGGGATTACACATCCTTCTCTCTCTATATGTGTTAAATTATGATAGGATCGTGTTAACTAAGGCTTATTCTGCACTTATCATATGCAAGGCACATGCATTTTCTTATTTTACCTCTCTTAGGCAGAGAGAAGAGCATAATTGTTATCTTTTCGTTTGTTTGGATATTGGGGATTAGTGATACTAGAGTATCATTAATGCTAGGTGAGTGGTCTCTACCGAGCCATCTCCTTAGCCTTGTTTTCTACTTTTTTTTTTTTTTGAGAGTCTTGCTAAGTTGCCTGCACTTTGCTTGAATTCATTCTGTAGCTCAGGCAGCCCTTGAACTTGTGATCTTCCTGCTTTAGCCTTCCCAAGTAGTTAGGATTACAGGCCTGCACCATTAGGCCTGGTTTATTGTAATTTTAACAAATAAATTGAGGCACAGAGAGGCTGAGTAATTGGTGCAAGGTTTTATTGGACACTGATGGGAATGAGCATTTAGGCCTCAGCCATTTGATTTCAGAGCTCTAGCCTTTAATTTCTGCACCCCAAGAAGACATTGTCTCACAATTTCTCCCCCAGCTGCCTGACCCAGATTCTGAAATGGGGATTCTGTGCCCTTCTCTAGCAGTCTGACATCCTGTTTCTTTCCAGGACAAAAGTGACACTGGGCATAGCAGGGGTTGAGTTCCTTCAGTGCCCTGTGCAGGTGATGAGAGGCTTCCACAGGTGAGCAGACCAGGGCCTGCCATCTAGGGCTGGAGAGGGGCAGGAAAAAGCTAACCAGGCAGGTGTCATCAGCAACAGCAATGAGGCACTGAAAACATCGTGCCACGCCCTCATTTAAAATCATTACCAGCAGCTATCAGCAGGGCAGGCATGGCTATTTTCCCAATCTCCTCAGCTCTCTGCCTCACTGTCACCATGGTAATAGCTGTGGCATGTTATGGTGTTCACCTGTGTCTCCCTCCTTTAACAATGACCTTGGTCACATTTGTACTTTATCTTTTATTATGCCCATCCTCCAGGAATGTAGGTGGCATTTTGAACACCCACTATAGCACAAATTTTCCTCTTTAAAGTCCTAGTGAGTGAGCACTCTTTTGCAACTTGAGTGCTCTCTCACAGGGCTCATGAAACTCTTCAAAGGTGGGATAAAGCCAGAATATCCTCCTTAAAGGACTCCCAGGCCTGGTTCACAGTACAGAATGGACTTGAGGCAGGATAGAATGACAGGAAATTGTGGGGAGATGGGGAGAGGACCTACTCACCCTAGAGCTGCTGGAAGCTTCTTTCCAGATGAAAATCAAGAATTACAACACAACATTTGCTTTAGATCTTTCTCTTTTCCTGTCAACCTGCAATCTTCTAGGACTGTCTCCAGAAACCTCTTACGCAACCCTAGTGGCTTCTGGTTTTATTTTATCAGATTGTAATCCCATCCAAGCACCTCTGGAGTTATGGAAAAGGGAGAATAGAGACAGAGTAGGGGAGAGTCCCTTGGAATCCTGTTTGGCAATGAAATTCCAGAAGCTTCCATAATCCTACATACCACAGACACTACAGTCACACTTTCAGCTGTGTTTTATTCTTTTCCTGTGTGCTTTTCTGTTTTTTGATTAAACTCCAGCTCTGTTTCATCCTGGCTCATGCTGAAATTCTTTCTTGCAGGGAAGACAGATCTGATTTGTCTTGAGTCAAAGTCTTCTAAACGATTAAGGGAACTCTGCAGGCTGCTGAGGGTGACAGCCTGGAGCTGTGCATTGTGGACAGAATTTCAGAAGCAAAAGCAGACCTTGGTGCAACCTCAGCTGGATGGACAATACTCCGAGATGAGGAAGAAGGAGCAGGACTTGGGGATCACAAGTTTGCTTGGGCTGGCTCCCATTCTCAGTAACAAGAAAAAAAGAAACTGGCCAGGATACACAATTTTGCCTTCACAGCTGCACCCTCAGCCAGAGCCTTCAGGAACACACCAGTCTGCACACCCACTGGGTGGCCCAGGCATTCTGTCTGGATCATTGTTTATCCAGACATTACTGTATTAGAGACTTTAAATATTCTAATTTATTATTATGTGTGAGCAAGGGTGGAAGCCAGAGAATAGCTCTCAGGGCATCTTATTCTCTCTGTCCATGGAGGGATGGAGAATCGAACTCAGAGCTTCCCCGAATTGTGCCTCAAGTATCTCTCGCTGAGCCATCTCGCTGCCCCGGTATTATATACTTCTAACATGCCTTTTCTTTTTTAAGATAGGGTCCTACATTCTAACAGAGGCTGGTCTTGAACTCATGGTGATCCTCCTACCTCAGGCCTTCCAAACTGCTGGACATGGGTCACCACATCTGACTGTACTACTTTTAAAGCATCACATCGTTTTAATCTTAGCTCTTCATGTTCGGGGTTAAAGCAACTTACCATATTCTGAAGCACCATATCACCATTTTTCCTGGCATCCCAACTTTTCAGATGGAGGGGCTCTGCTGCCCTTAAGGAACAGCCTTTTTTTTTTTTTTTTTAAGGTGCTACTTTCTTTATTTGGACAAAAATTCAATTATTTGGTGGACAAGTGGGGAAAGGGGCCAGGAAGGGAGCACTAGGGAAGCGCAGAAGGGGGCGGCAGCCAGGGCGGCCGGGCAGGAGGCGGGGCGGCTGTGCTCGGGAAGGCCCCGCACCTCCCTCGGCTCTACCCGCCCTGTAAGGACGGACCCGGCCGGGGACACCTGGGCGGCGCAGCCCTCTGCCAGCTCGCAGTCCCGGGAGCCGTGGCCCCCGGTGCCCGGCTCGGAGCAAGGTAACACGCGACGCCGGGGCGCGGGGTTCGGAGCATCAGCAGGGGGAGGTTGAGGCGGGCGGAGACCTGCCTCCTGGACTGCAGCTCGCGTCTGGTTCTGGCTTTTCTGCCCACTGGTCGTCTTACCTGGGCAACTTTCGGGGTCTGGGCTCTGGGTGCCAGTGTGGAAGGAGGGAGACGATGTAGAGTTGTTTGTTTTTCTTTTTCTTTCTCTTTTTTTATTGCGACTATCTGAACTCTAAACTGTGAGCGGTGTTGGCATCCTGCTTCTCGCTTATTCTAGAGCCGCTTCTGCTGCCCACGCCTCCGGGGGTCCACGTATAGTTCAAAATCAGAGGTCTGGCTGGGCGGTCGCGACTGGCGGGGGCGGGGGGGCTCTCAAGGACTCATCGCAGGCCTGGAGCTCGCCGCAGCAGGACCTGGCTGCAGAGAACTGACCCAGAGGTGAGGAAAGGCCGAGTCCTCGCCACAGGTGGGGCGAAGGGAGGGGCAGTTAAGGGGCTGGTGAACTCTATTTTGAAAATCAGCAAATTTGTTTTGGAAAAATTTCCCCTCCACCCAGCCAGACCTCTCGTATGGAGCTATAAATCACACTGGTGGGAGTGACCATCTTTCAGTGCAAAACCTACTGCTTCAGCTTGTGAGACTTAGGGCTCCACCAGCGGGTAGGAAGTGGGTCTCTCTGCTCTCCCGGTGCCTCCTCCCTCTTCCCTTTCCTTTCTCCTCCCTGTGTAAGTCCCCTTTGGCTGTGAGGGGCTCCACTTACTGCGTCAGTGAAGAGTTCTTATTTCCACCGAGAGCAACTTCTAGGGCTCCGGGTTGGGATGGAAGCCTAGCCTGCGAACCCTATAGCCTAGCAGCCGCGTACAGACCAAACCCTGCGGGATTCAGGCAGACATTGGGGTCCTGGATGGGTTCAACCTGCTGTCCAGCTTCCTGCCCATCCCTGGCTAGTATGTGGTCCCTGCTGTCAGCTAGGTGGAACAGCCAGGCAGAGCAGGGTGGCTGAAAGTAGCTGTGGTCATTAGTCAGTTTCTGTAGCTCTCTAACAGCACACACTTCCCTCCCCCAACCAACTTCCTTCATCTCCGCAGTTCTGCCCCACCTCACTCCTGGTGTGATAGCCAGGTGAAACTGGATTGTGTGACCCACCAAGAGAGCACAGGACAAAGAGAAGGCACGGGGAAGGGGGTAGACTAGTGCTGACTGCTTCTTTTTGGACATTTATTATGGACTAGACTCTGTTCTGCATGTGTCCTTAATTCTTTCAAAGCTACTGGAGGGCAGTACACTGCATTCCATTTTATAAATGAGAAGCCGAGGCTGGGAAAGATTGCTTCTCTAATTCTAACATAGCTAAAAAGTAGTCCAGCTGGGATTCAAATCTAGTTTCTAATACTAAAATCTTTCCACTTCCTTTGTGCTCCCTTAGTAAACGATAAGCTGAGTAAGAAAAAACCAACCAACCAACCAGCCATCTGACAGCTATTAACTGAACTCTTACTAAGTACCAGATGCCTATGGAAGCAGCTTAGAGGTCCTATTGGCATTTATAGCTAGGGCATCCATCATTCTGAGGGAACCAGTGCTGGCCCTGGCCCCTCTTAACAGAAGTTTTGTTCCAGAAGGCCTGCCTTATCCTTGCAGTTGCTACTGCCTGGGTGTGGCAGGGGCTCTGTGTGCTTTATCCTAGAAATGGTTTGGGGGTCTAATGAAAGATCAATTGTCCACATCTGATCCGTTAGACCTGACCGTTGGCTTGTGAATGATCTCACTGTTCCCTAAGAGGCCTTTTCCAGGTTTTGCTCAGTAAACATTTGTGGAATGAATGAATTAGCACCTTGTGCACAGGGATCTGTTGCACTATAGAAAGTGAGGCAGAGCAAGGCAGCCTGGGCCCTATCATTCATACCCATGATGCAGCCAGGGGTGCTCCTCCTTGGGCAAGGGCCTTAGGGTGAGCTGTCTTGGCTGGAAAGTATGCCATCACCTGTCTTACAAAGAAGTTTTTGAATAAATAGTACACAAGGAGAAACTGCACTTTCCCCCAATCCAACTTACCTGAAAAGTAACTTGGTATTAATGGGGTTGTCACTCTTTCAAAAAGGGAGTGCCTGTGTGGGTGGGGGGTGGGGCAGATAGGATGTGCTGCTTGCTTTAGAGCTTCCCATATTTCTCCATAGTAGAGTCCTTAATGGGAAAGAAGAGCAGGTGCTCTTGGGAGCTGGGGCACAGTTCAGGTCAGCTCCAGCAAGCTTCGTCATGGCTTTAAGGACTTAGGATGTTTTGAAAATTAGATTTCATGATATGAATTTCAGCTTAAATGTAAAAAAGGTTTTCTGGGCTGGTGAGATGGCTCGGTGAGAAAAGGCATGTGCTATCAAGTCTGATTACCTGGGTTTGAGTCCCAGAACCCACATGGCAGGAGAAAGCTGACTCCTGCAAGCTGTCTTCTCTCTCTCTCTCTCTCTCTCTCTCTCTCTCTCTCTTTCTCACACACACACACACAAATAAATAAATGTAATAAAATGAAAAAACAAATTTTTTTCTTAATATTTGAGTAGAATTAGTATCCTGGTAGAGTGGAGAGTGGTAGAGAAGAAGCAGGGCAAAGGTTCTGGTCTGGTGGCTTGGAGAACAATTTCTGTTTTCCAATCTCTGATTGATAGTAACTGAACTTTTTAACTCCCTAGGAGAGGCAACCTTTTATCCCATTTTGCAGAATAAAGGCACACGCCTTTAATCCCAGCAATTGAGAGGCAGAGGCTGGCAGATCTCTGACTTCAAGGCCAGCCTGGTCTACACTGCGTGTTGCAGGCCAGCTGGGGCTACAGGGAGACCCTGTCTCAAAAAGACCAAAAATAAATAAACAAATAAATAAATAAGTCTTTATTGTTTGCTTTCTTATTGTCAAAACTATACTTATTAATTGTGAAAAAAAATACAAATTGCCATTAGTAATAAATCAATATATCTGTGCTTATAGTTAACTAATGCAAAAATTGGTATATATTTTTTCCAAATCTTTACATCTGTGAATAAGTTAAAAAATGCATAAACATGACCCATAGTTTTGGTTGGTTGAATTCTTATCAGAGTTAAGAGTCATCTCACTATTTCTAAAAGAATGCAAAGAATAAATTAAAATACTTAAAAGCATTGTAAAGGTTAATCATGTTGTGAGCCCCAATGTCTATCAGCCCAGCCCATTAGCTCCCCTTTTGTCATTATTTTCCAGCAGAGAGAATTGTCAGGCTGCTGCTGAAGTCACAGGGTCCACCTGTACTTCTTGCTAAATGTCTCAAAAGCAACAGAAAAGGATGCTCTTCAGCGGGTCAATGTGCAAAATTTGTGCAGAAAATCAAAAGCTTATTTATAAAATGAGAAGAACAGGGCCCTAAAAGTCATTGCTAGATGCACTTCATTACCTGTGCGATCTCAGGCAACACAGGTAGCTTTGATGAGGTTTCCTCTTCTGTAAACTGGAGAGAAAGAACCTATTTATGGTGGTCATATTTTCATCACTCTGACAAAATACTTGACATCATCAACTTGCAAGGAGGGAAACAGTTGTTTTGGCTTGTGGTTTCAACCCATGTTTGGTCGGCTCTGTTACTTTTAGGCAGTACACTGGTGGGACTGTGGCAGTGGCAGAGGAAACTTCACACCTCATGACAACCAGGAGACAAAAAGAGACACAGGAAAGGGCTAGGGTCCTGGTATCCTCTCCAAGTGCATGCACTCAAGGTTGTAAGTTCCTTCTATTTCCTACTTTTATTTTTGTCGTTTTTGAAACAGGATTTTCCTGTAGCCCCAGCTGGCCTGGAACTCACTATACAAACTTTAATTTTGAAGAGAGCTGTCTGCCCCTGTCTCCTGAGTGCTAGGATTAAAGGTGTGCACGACCATGCCCAGCTATACCCTACTTCCTAAAGGTTCCAGTGAATCCCAGTAGTGCCACCAAGCATTCAGTTTGTCTGGGAGACATTTCAGAACCTAAATTATAGTACTATTCTGCCTTCTGTGAGAATCACCATAAGAACTAAGTGTTAGATAATATTATTTTTTATTTGAATTGTGCACAAGTGTGTAAGCTATTAAAATGTTTATATATAGAAAGTTAAAAAGTTTTGTCAGACTATGAAATAGTGGAATCCAACTCTTAATAGGACTTAATTATAATACAAATATTCTATGGAACTTGACCCCAAGTTTTTTTTTTTTTTAAATTAAGAATTCAGGATTATTTGGTGGCTAAGATTTCTTAACCTTAATCACAATTCTAAATAGAAGAGGCAGTGGACACTTCTGTTTTATAGTGTGAAGGCAGGTTTGTCATTCAAAGGAGCTATTCATTTTCACAGGGAGTTGCTGAGAGCTGTCTCTAGACGCTCCAAGCCAGGCAGAGGCATTCTAGGCAGAAACATTAGGAGCAGCTTGACAAACGGGCACACTGGTGAAGACTGGCAGCCATGGTCCCAAGGGGAGGCATGCACCCTGCTCCTGGAAGCTCTGGGGAGAGAGTCAAATGGGCCTGCATTGGGATGAGATGGCTTGACGTTAACCCCTGCATCTGCCAAAGACAAGTTGTACAAATTGGGTTTGGCCTCTTCTTCCACCCGTGTCTGGGGGTCTTTACTTGTGCGCTTAGGGAGCTAGGTCAGATGAGGTTCCTCCCAGTCTTAATAGTCTGATTCTGGGTTATTTTCCACTCAAGACTCAAATGACTTAGGTTGTCAGAAAGTGTTGCTGCTTTCTGTTGCTTTGAGTGTTTGGTGACCCCGTCACATTATTTTTCTTCTGATCATCATTCATGAATTCTTCATAGTGGAGTTGTTTCTACTCATTTGATTGTTATTATTAATCTAGAACCTCCTAGGATGTTGGGAGGAGAAAACTGGGGGCAATTTTTGGAAAAGTAGGTATACGGAAATATAATGAAAGCAGATTATTTTATCCCCCAAAAGTCACATATTTCATTCAGTCAGTGCTTGCCCCTTACGTTACAAAGTGCAGTAATTTTCCTTAGTGCCCTTTGGGCACATGGCCCTGTGCTAGAACTTTTGCAGAGTGTGGGAGAGGCACATGACCCTACTTGAATAATGTGGCACTGGAGGGGGTAGAAGGACACAGAAGACAGGAGAGAGGACACAGCTGTGGTTGGAATAGGAATGTGATAAAAAGACTAAGGTAGGAAAAGATTGTGCTACCAAGGGCTTGAACTGTGTTGTTTAATGCTGCATCCAGAGTCTGGCACTCAATAGGAGCTTACCAAAGTATTTGAAATTGAACAATAAATGAATAAATGAAAGCATAACTGAATCATTCTATTGAAATGAAGTCTGCTGCAGCATAGTGCAATGCCTCTCTGATGGTTACAGTGACTTCTTCAAGTATGTAAACACAAAACACTTTCCCAAGTATCATTCCTCATATTAATGTTGGAAATAAAAGATGGTCAAAATGAAAGCACTTCCTAACATCATACCTTTCCTTCCATTTTCATGTGTGTGTGCTATACATGTATGTGTACATACATGTTTGCATGTGTGTGTATGGGTGTATGTGAATGTGAAGGCCTGAGGTTGATGTGAGGAATCATCCTTGATTGCTCTTCCACCTTATTCCGTGAGGCAGGGTCCCTCAACCAAACCCAGAGCTTGCCAATATGGCTAGTCTCACTAGCTAGCTTGCTCTGGGTATATCCTGTCTTTGCCTTCTGAGGCTGGTGCCCACCTAGGCTTTATGTAGGTTTTGGGGATTGGAACGCTGATCCTCATGCTTGCAAGGCAAGCACTTAATCACTGAGCCATCTCCTCAGCCCCTAACATCACACTTTATAGATACTTTGTAGCTGCCAATAGAAATAGATTTGGTTTATTATTCCTAGGCCTTCTTTCTACAAAATTCATCAAGGAATATTTGCAGGGTTGGGAATGTAGCTCAGGGGTACAGTGCTTGCTTTGCATGCACAAGACCCTGGGACATACCCCAGCATGTACAGAAGCACAATGGTGCAGGCCCATGCTCACACACTGAAAGACATAGCAAACAGTTCCATACATGCATTCTGAGCTAGAGGAAGAAAGAAAGGCAT